GAAAACCCAAAAATTCCACCCACACATTTTTTCGAAGGTTGTAGAAACCGGTGTATGGTAAAAAGAGACTAGAAGATTATGCAGACACACAGAGAGGTGCGGATTTCCATTGGTACCCCTTTTTTTGAAAATCGGTAGAGCGTTTTTTGAGAAAAACTTTTGAAAAACGTGAAAAAAAATTCCAAAGCGTCTCAAAAAATAAAATAAAATAAAAATTAAAATAACCCCGATCGCATTCAGTTTCACAATACTTGTTTTTATCAGAAAGGAATTTGATTTCTCATAGTTTGTCTGTGATAAGCAGGTCAAATCTATAATCATTAGGGATATGATCAAAAACTAAGCAGGGCCTTCCATTAGTTTCACCTGTGCAATTAGGGCGCCATTTTCATTGAAAATGACGTCCAGGCACGAGCTTTTGGTTGTGTTAAAATTAACTACTTGCGTTGTGTTCGTCTCTGTTGTTTTTCGACACAAAATATCAGCATAGAGATCGTTGTTTGTGAAAGGGATTGTCATTCAGTCGTGCAATCGAAATTTCCTCATGAGAGCAAAAATTTTTGGTACCTAGAGGCGCAGCTCAAGCTGTAAATACCTATTTGATAATTTTTGAATTTGTTGTACTGATGCAATGAGTCATTTCAAAATTTTAATTCAAAAATTCAAAAAGAAACGGTCAAAAAAAATTTGACTTTTCCGAAGGCGTAACTTGTTAAATTAAAAAACTGAGCGTACCCGCTGATGCAAGGGAGCTTCCCACAACCCATTCTACACCTTGAGACCAAAATCTCAAATAGGCCAGGGTAATTTCCGAAAAAAGTCAAAGAGTTTGAAAAACCGGTCGAAAAGTCACAAGCTAAATCCGGGATAAATTTGAAATTAACTATTGCATCAGTACAAAAAATTTAAAAATTATTAAACAGGTATTTCCAGCTTTAGCTGGCCTCTAGAGTCAAAAAAATTCAAAAAACGGTTAAAAAAATCCAAAATTTGATTTTTCCGAGGTTCATTACGTTTTGTGTAAAACAATAGGCAAAACCGCTTCTAAAAATGAGCTCCCCGCAACACGTCCTCTCGATTCAAACCAAAACCTCGGATTTGGGAAGGTAGTTTCCCACAAGGTCGAAAAGTTCCAAAAAAACGGTAAAAAAAACTGCACATTTGACTTTTCCGAAGGTCGTAAATTAGTGTGAAAAAAGTTGGGCGTAGCTGCTTATGCATGGAAGCTTCTCACAACCTGTTCTATCCGTTGAATCAAAAATCTCAGATTTGGGAGGGTAGTTTTTGAGAAAAAATGAAAACCCAAAAATTCCACCCACACATTTTTTCGAAGGTTGTAGAAAGCGGTGTATGGTAAAAAGAGACTAGAAGATTATGCAGACACACAGAGAGGTGCGGATTTCCATTGGTACCCCTTTTTTTGAAAATCGGTAGAGCGTTTTTTGAGAAAAACTTATGAAAAACGTGAAAAAAATTTCCAAAGCGTCTCAAAAAATAAAATAAAAACTAAAATAATCCCGATCGCATTCAGTTTCACAATACTTGTTTTTATCAAAAAGGAATTTGATTTCTCATAGTTTGTCTGTGATAAGCAGGTCAAATCTATAATCATTAGGGATATGATCAAAAACTAAGCAGGGCCTTCCATTAGTTTCACCTGTGCAATTAGGGCGCCATTTTCATTGAAAATGACGTCCAGGCACGAGCTTTTGGTTGTGTTAAAATTAACTACTTGCGTTGCGTTCGTCTCTGTTGTTTTTCGACACAAAATATCAGCATAGAGATCGTTGTTTGTGAAAGGGATTGTCATTCAGTCGTGCAATCGAAATTTCCTCATGAGAGCAAAAATTTTTGGTACCTAGAGGCCCAGCTCAAGCTGTAAATACCTATTTGATAATTTTTTGAATTTGTTGTACTGATGCAATAAGTCATTTCAAAATTTTAATTTAAAAATTCAAAAAGAAACGGTCAAAAAAAAATTCGATTTTTCCAAAGGCGTAACTTGTTTAATTAAAAAAACTGAGCGTACCCGCTGATGCAAGGGAGCTTCCCACAACCCATTCTACACCTTGAGACCAAAATCTCAAATAGGCCAGGGTAATTTCCGAAAAAAGTCAAAGAGTTTGAAAAACCGGTCGAAAAGTCACAAGCATCACTTTTCCGAGGGCAATCAATTTTCTCGTAAAAAAATGGGCTAAACTAATAAACCCGGAAAAGTTTTGATATTAATTATTGCATCAGTGCAACAAAAATTCAAAAAATATCGAACAGTTATTTCCAGCTTTAGCTGGCCTCTCAGTGTCAAAAGTTTCAAAAAACGGTCAGAAAATCGCAAATTTGATTTTTCCGAAGGTCGTAAAAAAGTTTGGGCGTAGCTGCTTATGCATGGGAGCTTGCCACAACCTGTACTATCCGTTGAAAGCTCAAATTTGGGAAGGTAGTTTTTGAGAAAACAAAATCCAAAAATTTAGGTCACAAATTTCCCCCACACACTTTTTCTAAGGCTGTAGAAAGTGGGGTAATGTTAAAAGAGACTCGTGGATTATGCAGGCATACAGGGGAAAGGGCCAATTTCCCATTGACGCCTTTTCATAAAATCGTTAGAGCGTTTTTTTTCTGAAAAACTAAATTTTTGAAAAAAGCGAAGAAATTTTCCAAAGCGTCTCAAAAAACATTACAAAAAACTAAAAATTTAAAAAAGCCCAATCCCATGCAGTTTCATAATACCTGTGTTTATCAAAAAGGAATTGGATTTCTCGTAGTTTGTCTGTGACCAGCAGGTTAAATCAAAAGATGTAAGATCAAAAAACTCAGGTCCTTCAATCGGTTTCGCATGTGCAATCACGGCGCCATTTTCATTTAAAAATAGATCCAGACACGAGCTTTTGGTTGTGTTAAAATTGATTAATTGTTTCTAGTTCGTCTCTGTTGTTTTTTGACACAATGTAGCATCGAGCTCGTTGTTTTTCAAAAAGATGGTTATTCAATGCTGTGCAATTTGAGTTTCCTCATGAGGCGAACAATTTTGGGTATCATAGTAAAAAAAAAACATCTACTCTCAAGGATATCCGCTAGCAGTGGCCATGTACGTTTCAGCCATAATACCCCTCATTTAAACTTTTATCAGTAGACAACGCAACCCAGAAACGGTACACAGATGACGGTAACGCAATCGGTAAATTGATCACTCTACGAACTGTCATAGACAACAAGGTAAAATCTTTGGCTACCATGTGAAAGCATACAAATGCCAGCTCACAGTTAACAAGACAAATTTTGGTGAACCCAAGAAAATCTTTGAAAACACAGGAAACACTTAAAAGGTAGGAGCCCGAGTGTTTGGTTCTGTTATAGGAACAGAACATGAAAGTAAAAAGTTCCTCGAATTTCAACAGAATGAGCAAATCAAAGTTTTGAAAAAACTAACTAAAATCGCTAAAACTTCGCCCCAAAACGTTTATGCCTGCTATACCAAAGGCTTTCATTTTTAACCAGGAAAATGCCTAATACTAAGGAAAATTAGAAACATGAAAAGATTATCAAAGAACAACTAATACCTAACCTAGTCGGCAAAGATTAAACCACAGTTCCGTGAGATATCTTCCTTGCCCCTTAAAATGGGCGGCATGAACATCAAGTTGCCTTCCAACCATGAAAACCATCTAGAATGGTCGAAAAAAAATCACTAGTACTGGAATCTCAGGATCCTGTTACAGCAATAATACAGCAAGAAAAAATTTCTACGAAAATCAAAAAATTTAAAACTGATAGAACAAATCAAAAGAAAACAAACCTTATAAAAATCTTAAAAGAAACAGATATATACGCAATCGACCTGGCCTCTGAAAAGGGAGCCTCTAACTAGCTCAATGCTTTACCAGTGGGCAGATACAACTTCAACCAAAACAAACAAGAATTTAGAGATTGTATTTACTGAAGACACGAATGGGAACCGAACGAAACCCCACTCACGTGTGCACATGGCGCAATTTTTAACCTGACTCATGCCCTGCACAGTGCAAAGGGCGGTTACACACATAAGACAATGAAATTAGACACACATACGCCAACCTCATGAACGATGTTTGCCATGATGTCGAGATAGAGCCGAAAATTCAGCCGTTGAAAGGCAAAAGCTTTGTCAACAATTCAGCTACAACTGAAGATGAGGCACGACTTGACATTAAAGCAAACGGACTCTGGGGTTCACGTTTTAGCCGCGCGTTCTTCGACGTGAAAGACACATACAATTATGACGAAACGCTGAAGGACTCCAAATATCAACTAAGAATTTTAAACAGTAGAGTAGCTTCTGCCCGCTGATTTTTGGATGCACCGGTGGCGCTATCCGACAGCCACGCGGACGATGCAGCAATTAGCCGAAAAACTGAGTGAAAAAAAAGACAAGACAGCTATCTGGAATCGATAAACTAAAGAAGCTTCGCACTCCTCATGAGCTCTATACTATGTTTGTTTTGTATTCGGTGTTTGTTGTGTATTCGGTAATTATATAATTCTATTTTTATTTTTATTTTAATCTATACTATGTATGAGGGGGTGCAAATCGCTGCGCAAAATTCAATTTATCGACAACTCTATAAGCGCCATTTCAGAGAAAGGACGGCTAAGATAACTTAACATTACGACGATGCATTTAATACTAATATATGACTTCACGCTGATAATGTTCGCTGATTTATATATGCATTTTTTTAACACTGGCACGGCCCTATCCAGCTTGTGGACTGACCGTTACTAAATGGAAGGGCCCCTTTTGTAACTTAGTTTTCAAAAAAAAGGAAAGAAGCAGGAAATTGATGGGGTTCGATAATATAGCAAGTTCATTTTCTTGTCAGAAAAGCTGTTTACGCAAAAAGTCTAATTCCCGATTACAAGACACTTGATCTCGCACGTGTAAAAAAACAATGTTGTAAAGCGTAGCACCCATGAAAGAGATAAAGATCCTTAATTAATAAAAGACCTGATTCCAAGAAACACACCTTCAGCATGATCTGCAGCAGCGCCTCTCTCATCGTTTTCGCCAGTATGTTCACCATTCCATGTGGAAGTATCCAAACTTAGATCTCCAGCAGCTCCATTTTGCGTTATCGAACTATCATTCAGGTATTTACTCGAGCGAGGAGAGAGCGCTACATCTCTCTTGTAATTGAATTGCGGTCTACAAGGTGAGATGTGAGGGAATAGAGGGGCTTTTTCTGTGTTTTTAGGGGTGGCTGGTTGTTTCTGGGGAGTCTGTGGCTCTTCTTGCGCTTTTTCAGGGGAATGTAGAGGGGGTTTTGCGTTGTGATTTGCAATTCCATTCTCTTTACTAGTTGATTTCGATGGCCCGTTAATCTCTATTTTGGGAATGCTTTGGACGTTGTTCGTTTCCGCCTTCTCAATTGGCGGATCACTGAAATCGAGTATTACTTAAGACTTAATACAAGTTTTTGAAAATCAGAATTTGTGCAAATCAATCTTATGGTGGATAAATGCAACTCACCTTTCTTTTACTTCATTGCTTGATACACATCCCATTTTGCAGACAATTTAGCAACTCAGTGGCATCAAAAAAACTGCATTCTAGCAAAAACTGAAGATAAATATCTGAAACAGTCTACTTTAAGAAGAGGTGTAGGTTCTTTGCGCCATTGGACTAGAATGGTTGTTATGTGAGGTTTCAATTTTGCGCACGATACGCTCAAAATCAGATTTAGGTACGTAAATTGACGAAATGAAAAAACAGTGAAGTCTAGAGGAATTGGCGATAAAGAAAATGCTCTTAAATAAATCGTTGTGGACTTTATTTGTTATAATCAGGGTTTTCCAGTAGCTTAAAGAGTATTTATTAATTCCTGGGCTTCAAAACTATGGGGCCCCCGTATTAAATCCTGGGGCCTACGCTTCAAAACTTCCGAAATGATGACGAATTTCAATTTTCAAGTCCATTGCAGAATAGACGATACCTGTTTCAGACGAGTGAAACATCTCAACTACTGCCTTATTGTGCCATTACACCGGACGCCACAGCCGAACCTTCCAGTGCACGCACAAAATTATGTTAAGCGTTGTAACCTTCGCCCGGAAGTACACAGCGACGGAAAATAAAGCTAGGTTCTAGAACGACTGGCTAGGGTCTAAACACAGCTCTACATGCTTTTCACCGTCTCTGCCAAAGCCAGTTCTTTTGGTGGTCTTTCTAACATCTGAAACTTATTAAATAGTGAGTTTCATGTGAAATGTATAAAATCTTGTGTGGAAGGCCTCCAATGGGGGGATTTTAGAGACAAGATTTCAATCAGATATCACCTGTTGAAAACATCCCCAAAGAAAGCTCTCCTGATTAGACTCCCAAGCCAGGTACCTGACATTTGGGAATATCAACATCCTATCGCTACCAGGAGCAACTGTAAACAACATATATCAATTTGTCACTCCACAAGGTAAATACGAAATCATTGTTTTATTTGTCGGCGGAAACGACTTATACAGTGGATACCATCCCTCTGTGGCTACTCCACAGGAAGTATTTGAGCGAATCGAAAGCCTTGCAAACACGTTGATAATTGTTGCGAAAAAGTTGTACGAAATAGGTATACCCCCCGAAACTGAAATCGAAAGTTTTGAAGACCACGAGTTGATTCGCCATCTAGCAGTAAACCAGAGACAAGCAAACGCATCAAAAGAAGCTCGTTGGAGCTTCCGAGGGCTAGCCGAACACGTGTATTCAGAAACGCATATTTCCGATCGTGACTGCGTGCACCTCAGCGAGAAGGGAATAAGTCAAATTTGAGTGATACTAAAAACGAAAGTTTTTTTTACGAACATTACTCGATCGAACTCGAACAGCAAGGACACCCAAACGTGTACTAGTGCTCCTCAGCTAGTGATTGCAAGTGCGGATCATTCCTTGGCAGTCGATAAAGTAAGCACATACTCCCCTTGTAGTAAATCAGAAACCAAAGGGCTCCTTTCGAGGAATCAACCGGTTCTTCTTTTTGCTGCAGTTTTAAAGTAGAATATACTAAGCCATAGGGCTTCTAGCGAGGAGCCACCTGGTTGAGTGTATTCTATCATTCCCCCAGTTAGGACACTACAAATAAATTGAAGTAACAATCTGATTAAAACAAATTCTGTAAAGCAAAATCAGAATGGCGAATCGAGCAAACAAGTGTTACACTTGTCAAGAAAAAATCAAGAAAGAAAAATTTGTGTGTTATTTTTGTCAAAAAGTTTTACACATGACACCGAATTGCACTGATTTTGATCAAAATAGCCTAGACGTTTCCATCAAGTGTAAAGCAAACATCCTCAATGTTTGCAACCAATGTGTAAACAAAAAGAGCAAGACCCAAAAACTGACTAAAAAAACGATTTGACTAACTGACTAAAAAAAACTGACTAAAAAAACGATACCCAACTAGTTGAAATCAAAGATCAAATGAAGACACTAACAGAGAAAATTACCAAATCAAATGCCCTGATTGAAACTGTGAAAATAGAACTCAATGAGGTGAAAAAAACGAAGCCACAGAACTTCGCCGCATCACTCGGTGCAGTGAAAATGGGCAAAAAGATCGATACGCCACCACCAGTTCGATCTTCAAGCAACCTTGGAGTTCGCATAAGAAAACACCACGGGGACTCCCGACGAGCGATTCCAAGCTGACATCGAAGCATTTGAAAAAATACTGGTTTTCCTCAATTTTGATGACAAAAAACTGAGTAAAATCCAGCACATAGGCAGAAATGATCCAGACCGGACAACCCCTCGCACGCTTATTGTAAACATGGAAATCATGCTCAGCAAAGAACTCGTGATGAAATCTGCCTTCCGGCTGAAAATTATGACCACGCTGTGTTCATTAGTCGAGAGCTGTCAACATCAGACACCAAACTTGAAAACGATTGCCTTACGCAAAAGGCGATTCTTAATCAAAGATAAAGAGATAGACCGAAAAAATATCAGATTCCGTAACTTGAAACTGGAAACCAAACACGATGATAAATGGGTCGACTATAGTGAAAACACGGACACAGCTACAGAAAGCGAGTCCGAATGACTAATCAATCAGTCGAATCAATCTTCTGTCCTTCAATGTGAGAAGCATTCTGAATCTCCAAAGACGAATGGTCTTCTCTAACTCTATATCTAAAACTAACTATGACTTAATTTGCCTATCAGAAAATGGCTCACCTCCGAAGTCCTAACAGATCTCTCTTTCTTCCGGCCTACAAAATATACCGGAAAGATCGTGTATGTGAAAACTTCCAATCAAAACACGGAGGAGTCCTCATAGCGATAAATAATCAAATCCCTCATGAAGAAGTAGTTCCTCACAACTGTAAAAATGATTTAATGGTATTAAGACTTTGTACAACCCCAAAGCCCACATTAGTGTGTGCAATACACAACTCATCGACAAATAGACTTTCCAAGACATTGTGCAGTTTTTTAATAGCCTCGAAAGTCATACCAGTAAAATAAGTTACGATCAAATCATCATAGCTGGGGATATCATTTTTTCGAAAACAAATTGGAGCGACATGAGCTCAAATGACGAATACGAAAACGGTATATTAGAAATACTAATTGAACATAATTTTTCCAATATATCAGAACATCATTTAGATGTCATCCTGACCCCGACCCAATTACAGACTGCAAAAAGGACATAGACGTCCTTAGCAATTTTAGTATCAATAACAAACCTTGCTCTGGCCACAAGCCAATAAACACAAGCTTTATTGCTAGTAAAAATTCTATCGTAACTCCATCCATAACAAAATATGCCTTTAAGAAAGCAAATTGGGATGAAATTAACAATGCTATCTTTAATTTTCCTTTTGACCCCTACTGTTATAGCAATGTCGACTTTCTAGTCAAACAATCGTATAACTGGATAAAAGACATCATAAACAACAACATACCCAAAGTCACGAAAAGTTGATCTTCAATTCCAGTCTGGATCTCAAAACAAGCTTTTTTTTCTAATAAAGAAAATAGCAACGAAAAAGCGTCAATGGCCAAACCCAAACATACAAAGATCCATAAATATCAAACGATTGGAAAAACAGCTGAGCTCCTTAATCGACTCTGATCTATATTGTATATAGGCTGATGTATTCCAAACACGACGTTTTAGCAACATACAGGAATATCTGTCGTCAATAAGAAAAAATCCATCAATACCCCCAATAATAAAGCTCGACGAAACGATCGCGGAGTCAAGCGAAGACAGAGCTATTCTTTTTAATTCATTTTTTCAAAGTGTTTTTGACAAAAAAAAACAATTAATAAAGCCAGATCATACCAAAAGAGAAGTTAACGATATACAAATTACGGAAAAAAACTCGAAACCGTGCTTGAAAGTTTACTGCTGAACAAGTCAACAAGACCCGATAATATTGATAATATCGTCCTCAAAAATTGTTGTATTCCCTGCCGAAATCACTCCTTCTGCTTTATAAAACAGTAACGAATAAAAGTGTATATCCGAGTTACTGGAAGATAAGCCAGGTGTCGCCTATATTCAAGGAAGGAAACAAAGCAGATGTTAGCTGTTATCGTCCGATAAGCCTATTGTGTTGTATTTCAAAAGTGTTCGAAAAATTTTTTTTGATCAATTGTATGAATATAGTCGCCACAAACTGCATGAAAACCGATTTGGTTTTCGCAGACAAAGGTCAGCTGTAGTCCAACTATTGCTCTTATAAGACTCTTTATACAAAAATTCGACGACAAAAACATAAAAGAATTGGCAGTCAATTATCTAGACTTTGCAAAAGCATTTGACAAAGTTGCGCATCATTTGCTTATCGATAAATTTAAAATATTTGGAGTGGGCGGAAAACTACTTAATATCATAATTTCATATCTCGATAAACGCAAACAATTCGTTAAATTTGAAAACGCCTCGTCTAATCTAATACAAGTCAGCAATGGAGTACCCCAAGGCTCTGTGCTAGGTCCGTTACTCTTCTTAATATGAAAACTGGTGTTATGAAAACTTAATGAATACAAGTGCGAGTAAATGTAAGTTACTAAATTTAAGAGGAAATCTATCCACTAAACTGAACGACACCGAACTGCATCCCACGAATGTTCAAAAGGATTTGGGCCTCTTAATAACCCCAAATCTTACATCGAACGAAAACTGTGAAATACGTGCCCAAAAGGCAACAAGACATATTCCAATTAAAACAAAACATATCCGCTACGTGCTCATGGGTTAACAAACTCCACTCGTATACTGGCTACATCATCCCGATCATAACTTACTGTTCACAAGCTTGGCCACCAAGTAGAGCCAACTTAGTAAGTTTCGAACGAGTACAAGTAATGGCAACAAAGTGGATTCTAAATTGCAATCTTGACTACAAAGGAAGACTAGTCGAACTTAAACTACTGCCATTATGCCTTTACGTCGAAATGCACGATCTTCTCATGTATTTATCCTTAGTAAATTCCAAATATGACATATCAATTGCTGTTGAATCTTCTAAAGAAGAAAAAAACTCGCCAACACAGCAGAGGAGAACATGCAGTCAACAAAAACAGACTGAACAAATCAGACGAATACTTTTTTCACAGAACAAAACTCTTACA